ACTTCCACTCAGGTATTTTCGATTGTTGAAGTAAACCTGAGGGTTTTTGATATTCTACCTTCACTTTGGCGCAAGTTAGGAACTTTCCCACGTAGGTAGCAATTTCAACTTTCATGTTTGGTCACCAATAGAGTTTCTTGAGATCCAAATACATCTTATCTGAACCTGGGTGGATGGAGTATCAAGTTTTGTGGGCTTCATTCATGACAACCTCCCTATAACCTCCGAACTTTGGGGTCCAGATTTGGTCCATGAAATAACGAACCCCATCACCCTTGATTTCAAAGTTCTTCTCCATTCCCCATAAGGCTTCATCTGCCACCTTTTCTGGTTTTAAGGCTTCTAGCTGAGCCTCTTTGATTTGCGTGGACAGATGGGAATGGATTGTCATGGTTAGTGCATTCACCCTACGACCTGAGTACTCCTTTCGACTAAGGGCATCAGCTACTACATTGGCTTTAACAGGATGATAGCAAATTTCTCATTTGTAATCATTGAGTAGCTCTAATCATCGTCGTTGTCTCATGTTAAGTTCCTTCTGATCAAAGATGTGTTGAAGGCTTCTGTGGTCGGTGAAGATGGTGCACTTGGTACCATAGAGGTAATGTCTCCGTATTTTTAGTGCGAAGACCACTGCTCCCAACTCCATATTGTGAGTTTTGTAGTTGATTACGGGTGCCTTAAGTTGTCTTGAGGCATAAGCGATAACTTTTCCTCGCTGCATAAGCACACAACCTAGCCCCTGACTGGACGCATCGCAGTATACAACGAAATCCCATGTCCCCTCTGGAAGGGACAAGATTGGTGCGGTGCACAGGGCCTGTTTCAATATCTAGAACGCAGTGTCTTGTTCTTCTCCCCAACTAAAAGTCACACCCTTCTGAGTTAGGGTGGTAAGCGGTTTAGCAATTATGGAGAAGTTTAGGATAAATTTGTGATAGTAGCCAACAAGGCCCAAGAATTAATGGATTTCTGTGGGCGTTCTCGGTGCTGACCAATTCTCGACTGTTTTTATTTTGGAAGGGTTCACATGTATGCCTTCTTCGCTAACCATGTAACCAAGGAAAGTTACATTCCTAATCCAAAATTCTCACTTTGAGAATTTCACGTATAGTTTATCCGTCCTTAATGTTCCTAGCACTTGTCTCAAATGTTGGCTATGTTCTTCCACACTTCGTGACTAGACGAGTGTATCATCTATGAACACTATCATGAATTTGTCTAGGAAAGGACAGCACTCCCGATTCATTAAGTCCATGAATATGGCGGGTGTGTTAGTTAGACCAAAAGGCATCACTACAAACTCGAAGTGACCATATCGAGTCCGAAATGTTGTCTTAGGAACATCACCCTCCCAGACTCGTAATTGATGGTACCCCGATCGTAGGTCTATCTTTGAGAAGTAGTTGGTGTAACGCCCGCAGATTCGGGCTAGTCAATTTAGAGACAATAAGCATCAAAAGTGACTTTTTAATAGAAGATTATTTAGAATAAATAATCTTAACCAATTTATATTATATGTCACAAGGGTTCCGTACAAATAAAGAATGCCGAAATCCGAGTTATAACGAAGAAGTTATGACCCGTCGAAGTTTTACAGCAAAATCGGCACGACACCAGGAATCATGAAAAGTGAATTTACGATAAAATACTTTCTATCCTTAGCGATCTAAATGAAAGTCGTAGTATATGTTAAATCGGGAGTGTGCATAGAAAGAACGTCCAAATCTGACTTCGTATGAGGAAGTTATGATTTTTCTAAGATTTAGCATAACAGTAAACAGCCTGGAAATTCAAATTTTAGATCGGTCGATTTTTAGCCTAAATAATCTAAACGAGAAATGAAGATATCATTAATAGGATTTAAACTATAAAAAGACAGTCGAAAAAGGAGCTCGTATGCGAAAGATATGGACGAAGCTTAGTCTCTACTCTTCAAGCGCGGCGAATTCGATGCAGATTTGTAAATCTGAGATAGAATAAAAATTGGCCGACAAGGTCTAAATGAAAGTTGTAATACTCGTAAATACCAATGCGTGGATATATATAACGTCGAGAATAGAGATCATATGAGAAAGATATGGACGAAACTTAGTCTCTACTCTTTAAGCACGACGAATTCGATATAGTTTTATAAATCTGAGCTACAATGAGAATTAGCCGACGCGGTTTAATTGAAAGTTGTAGTACTTGTAAATACCAAAGTGTGGATATAAAGAACGTAGAAAACGGAGCTCATACGCGGAAGATACGGACAAAACTTAGAGATTACTCTATGATAAAACCCCTATAAATAAAGGGTGAATCCTTCATATTTCTCACACCTTTCACCCTCTCTTTCTCTCTCTCTAAGCCCCCCCCCCCCCCCCCCCAAGTCTAGGGAACCTCCCTAACACGAGAAGGAAGCCCCAGAGCGCCCGACGGCTCCGAGAAGAAAAACTTTCGGCTCGGAAACGCTGCTCCAACGAAGCCCGGTTTTTAATAAAAATCTGTTGTAAGTGAGCTACGCCTAATCTATATTTAATATAGATTTTATTTAAATATAGTAATGTTATTAAGACCTTATAATAAGTATTTGGACTATTATTATGAGTTATATACGTGTCGTTATAATGTCTTTTAAACCACTCACGGTACGGGGAATCTGGTTTGGAGGGCCGCTTGGGTTGCTGGATTCAGAAGTGTTGTATGCCAAAATGATCCTGCCCTCTGGTGTTCCATGCCTGACCCTGTCTGTACATAGTAGGTGAAGAGTATTGTTTAACGTTTATATAATAGTAATAATAATTAGACTATTAATTAGTCTCGACGAATATTAGACTAAACTCTAGTGGTAATGATACTAGGTTCTGTCAAAGGAGTTGTTGAAAGTAAACGAAGTGTTGTCCGAGTACCGAGTCACCACCTTATCAGGTGAGTGCATAGTTACTTTCATCTTACACATAGATACGAAGTATTTTATATAAATTACATGCTATGTGTGTATATTATCTGAATAGTTGTTGTCTATGCTGGATGAACGATTTTATACATGCTTCAAATGAATTAAACTGTATATGTATTTTATATCTACAAAATATGTTGGGTAAAACATGGGTGTATGAAATATGAGTCGGATGATGAGATGAGAGGTGATATAGACCATGAGATAAGGGTGGGAGGTGAACGATGAGAGAATCCTTTTACCCAAATGATGGACACGTCATCTAGCAGAGTATGGATGACAACCACAGACTATTCTAGACAGTCTAGTGGAACACTAGCAGGCTCGCAACCTGTAGGTGTTATGAACGATGTGTTCACTCGGTGTACTCTAAACCTTGGCGACTATGCAGACTTAGTGCCTAAACCTTAGCGATCATGCAGACTTGATGCCTAAACGCTGGTGACTATGCAGACTTAGTACCTAAACACTGGCGACTATGCGGACTTAGTATCTGTTGTATAAACCCTGGCGACTAAGCAGACTTAGGAATAAATGAACGAGAAATAGATGATTCTTAGGGTAGATCCTTAAGAGTAATGAAGCTAATAGAGATGGGTAATTGGGTTGATTAATTGTTTGAAGATTAAACATGATAATTATATTATTGTGGGTTGAAAACCCTATGTACTCACCAGGTTTTTCAACCTGGCCCACTCAGTTTATTTATATCACAGGTGTTCATATGAAGTCACATTACCAAATGAAATCAAAACCAAACTCGAAACAAACTTACTAAAATCAAATCCAAATAAGCGGAGTAGAGAAAGTGGTCTAGAGGTCGATGATAGGGTTCTTCAATTCAACAAAATGATTGTATATATGTTGAAGAATTACCAGAACATGCAACAACCGAAAGGATTTCAACTCGGACCTATAAAACCTGAAAGGATCTAAGAATATGGACATCAGAACTAGAGATAGTGGAAATGATGGGTTTCAGAACCTGCACACTCAAAAGAATTTTAACTAGAACCTACAATAGACCCATCACTTGAGCAAACTGATGATGGAGACCAACAACGGTTTGGAGTATTGATTATATTTGGGAATAAATGTAAAAATCAAAGACAATGGAGACGATGGGTGCAAGAGACAGTCGGTGATCAGTTTGGTGGTATCATACGATTCACAGTCTTGTAGCGATAGGGCACAAAAGTGTGATAGTTAGGGCACAAAAGAGTAATTTTGGGGTGGGATAGGTAATAGGTTCCATCAATCATGAAGTGGGTAGGTGGTGGAGGGGAAGGAAAGAGATGAAACTCAACTATAGAGATTGAGTAATCAATATTGAAGAGGTCAAAGGAGGTAGGCGTTGAAGACGTTGAGGGCAACCAGCCGTTTTATAACAATCAGTAAAAAGTGTCAAATAATTGGGTGGGTGGGACCCACATGGGTTTTTTATTAAATATATTTTTCTTACTAAACAATCTAAAATAAAATTAATTAAAATAAAACTATCCTTTTATAATCAGTAGAGACCAAATATATAACAAAATACCAAATACATAACAAAATAAATTTTAAAGGACTAGATAGGTAACAAATTTAAGCCCTAGAATTTAAGGATCAGGGCGATCCAAGTTTAAGAAATCTTTTAAAGGACCAAATGTGCAAGTAACCTCTATCCACAGGGACCATCCGTGTAATTTACTCAAACCTTGAATACATTCTAAAAAAAATGAGGTTGCAAAAAAGATTTGAAGTTAACATCAAAGACGCAGAAGTCGAACTTCGTTAATCTAGAAATAGTTGAATAAGTCTCGACTCACATAATATCAACGAATTCAAACTAAACAGAAATTTATCTCAAAAGCCAAGTAAATAATATTTCATAAGCATTGATTATATCCTTAAAATCCACAAACAAACACACACAAATAACAAACACACACGATTTATTTCAAGTCACACAACAGAACGGAACAAATACTTATCAAACCAAAAGATAGATAAAGCAAAGAACAACAACCTGGAAACTCCAACTCCAACTCCAACTCCAATTCCATTTCCAATTCTATTCTTCTTCCGATTCCGATTCCGCACTCTGAAGCCACTCCACAAACGGCTTCACATTCTTCCAAATCAACGACTCCTTATTCCCGCCACTCAACCCCTCCTCATACCACTTCACCACATACTCCTCTTCCAAAATATCAACATCATACAACGCCTTCAACACAAGCGGAACCTCCTTAACCGCATTCCCATTCCCATTCCGACAAAACTCCTCGATCGCCCTCAACACCAGAATCTGCGATTCCGCCCCTTCACCAACCACAGCCGCCAAATAACTCTTCTTTTTCAACACATGTTTTGCAAACCCTTTTTCCACACCATCAACCACCGCTTCATAAATAGCACTCGCATTCTCTTGTTTCGACCCCGACAGAATCCCCATCAACTCCTTCGGTGAAACACCCTTTTTAATATTCTCCTTCGCCACGTCAGCAAGCTTCTTATTATTCCCATTCCCATTCCCATTGACCGCTTTGACTTTTTTCGGCTCCTCGGTTGCTAACATCACCATGTCAGCGGTAACAGAACTGAGCTGTTCTTGAATCCGTTGTCTGGCGGCCTCCGCTGACGTGTCGGTCTGCCATTGGACGTCCCCGTCATCTTCCGAATCATCTTTGTCGCCAGCCTGGCTGACAGTTGGCGAGACATGATCCTCGTCAGATGCATTTCCTTTCTTTTTTGTCGGCTTCACATCTTTCTTCTTAACATCTTTAGTCAACTTCTTTTGTACTTTATCAGCAGCTTCACCTTCTTTTAATCTTTCCTTTTCTGCCCTTCTCATGGCCTTCTTATCTTTCCCACCCTTTTTCACTTCTGGTGGATTTTTCAAAATAAATGACGTCAGCTTATCCCTCATGTCCACATCAGACACAAACCCACAAGCAGCACATTTCAACTGCACCATTTGAGTTTTTGTAATCAAGATTTCAGTTTCGGGATTCCCGCATCCGTAACACTGAACGTATTTTTTTATGAAATTTTCGAGAAGACCCGCGAGTTTTGAAGTGTCGTGGGCCCCGTTCACCAGGGACACACCCGTCTTTTCATCGAATTTTGATTGTGCACCGAGTTCACACCCGAAATATTTAGTGGTATAAGAAGGTGGACGAGCCAAAGCTTTTGCCACATCAACCATGTTGACTATATTTGTTTTGATTCCATTTCCACGCCCTTCGATTTTTGTAATCATTTTTGGCATTTTGTATCTGTAAAAGGCATCATCGCTGTTGCTTGCACCAATGTTTTGTAAAGCCATTTTAGGTAAGTGTTGGGAAGTGGTTAAGATTCTTGAATCTTGATATTAGATTAGTGAGGTAATGGAGGTTGAAAAGTGGGGGGTTTTGGAGGGGTAAAATGGGGAATTGGAAGGTTGCGATAAGGGGCAACCGTGGAAATCAGTGTGGTCCTGAAATGGCGCTCGATGCATACAGGTGATTGGTTTTGTAGAGGAAGGAGTTTTCTCCTTGAATATAGGACAATATTCTCCCAACAACCCGATAGACCCTAAGTAGAGGATAGCCTGCTCGGACATAAAAAACGCTTTGACTTTCACAAACACTCCAACTTGAAAGTTGTAGAGAGCTGATGGCAACAAGAAGCCTTCAAAATGGAGATGGTGAACAATTAGTAAAAGATTAAATTAAGAATGTAAGAATACTATCATACAAAATGTATCTTTCAATAAGGTATGTCGCTAAAGTTACTAAACAAGGTTTATTATTCTGTTAACTTGCAGAAAGTTGGAAGAACAAAAATATGACAAAGAAAGTAACTTTAAACAGACTTTAGCAAAAGTTCTCATTATATCAACTATAACTGTTGAGATATAGAGTTACACTACCCTTTCCAAGATGACCACTTTGCAGAAAAGGGAAAACATGGAAATACAAAGAAGAGAGATGACAATATTACACCATAACACTGTTTAACATAACAAACAGAATTTCATGTGAATCGCTATTTGAATCAAACAAATTTAAAACCTATTTGGTTATGAATAACGGTGAACAATTGGCAAAAGAAAAATAATTTTTGTTTATCCACAGGTTCACTCATCTTCCACATGATCTCACAGTAACATGTCTTTTCCCTACCCGAAGTTTCCTCAAATTATTAAAGAACACCGCTTTGATCATCAATAAATCATTAATAACGTTTTGTGACAGCTTATTCTCAGAACAGGACACAAGATAAATCTCATACAGTAGTTTCCTCGAATAATCAAAGGCGACAACTTCAATCATCAGACAATAATGATTCATAACAGTTGATGAAGACGAGATAAATCAGATCTAAAGATTAATCGGATAAATTTAAATTGATGTAATACTACGACGAATTCCAAAGAGGAAATCCAAAAACTACGATAACTGTAATAACAAGATTCAGATTTCGTATAAACAACGGTTGTCTGATTCGCCAATAACAATGCTTATCGATCATTAAAACAACAAAAATAACTTAATCGATTTATAAACAAATAATCGGAGATCCATCCATAACAAAACCACCGATTACAATCAAATAAACATCGATCAACATAAATCAATACAAGAGAACATAATCAAACAACTAGTAAAGAAAGTGGCAAACAAAATCGAACTGAGAAATTCAGCAAACTTACCGATCAACAGAGATAGATAAGAAGATGTCTAGGGTTTTCGATTGTGGCCGAGAGATGAGCGATTGAGAGAGAGAGGCGGCCAATCGGACATATTTATATATAAGGTTGGAAATGTTGGTGATATTCCACCTGTGTACTTCTAATCTTAGCCGTCGATCTAATGACCGACGAGATCAACGGTACACACGCCACGCTTTGATCCTAATTTCGAGCATGACTATTGGCCCTTCAACGTTTAATACATGTTGGTTTTGTCCAATAACTTTTAAAATTGTAATTATTGATCCTTAAACATTTTAAAGTGTTGCTCTTACAATTAAATGTTTTTTGTTTTTTGTTTATAGATCTTCTTGGTCATTTGTATCTGCACTGCGCAGACCATGTGCAAACATTAGGCTTCGCAAATTGTTGTTTTTTTTAAGACTGTAGATCTAAAAGGGTTTGCATGTCCTCTTCTTGATGCAGATGTGGACCAGAGTCTTCAAGTCTCTTCAGACATCTTCTAGCTTAAAAACCGCATATATCTTAGTTTTTTTTAACTTAGATTTATTTAAACTTTATCTATAATAAACAATCTAAAAAAAAGTTACAATACTTAAAGAAAGAAGATTTGACGACACATATGACTTTTGTGACAAAATTATAAATAAAAATTTATTTACAATAATGGTTGTTAGAGTTGTTTATATAGATATAAAAAAAAAGGAGCGTAATATTGTCTTTTATATATATATATATATATATATATATATATATATATATATATATATATATATATTTGCCAAATTTTATAAAATATTATTTAATGCTATATCATTCATTGGAATAAATATTTATAACAAGTTTTTAATTGATTTAATTGAAAAGGTGAAATGAAAATTTTAAAAATTTCATTTAAAATCAAAGTTTCTTTCCATCTATTTTTCATGTTAACTTCTTTTATCTTTAATTACAATGTTTAGGTATATCTTTGTCACCAAAGTTTGTTGGTTTTATCAAATATATATATATATATATATATATATATATATATATATATATATATATATATATATATATATATATATATATATATATTAATTTGTACCATTTTATTTTCACTTTTTATACAATAATACATAAAAATCGATCTACATTTGTTCATTATCTATCATAAAGTCATAAAATTAATGAAAAACTCTTTTAAGTTTAAAAAAATCGGCTTAGTTAGAATTTAGTTTATTCTAACAGTCTGCCTGCAGATGTTAAAAAAAAACAGTCTTCTTCTTTCAGACTGCAGACATTTGGTTCACCTCTTCTACTGCAGATGTATGCAGATATGGTCCGCAGACTGTAGAGTTGTTAGATTTGACGACACATATGACTTTTGTGACAAATTTATAAATAAAAATTTATTTACAATAATGGTTGTTAGAGTTGTTTATATAGATATGAAAAAAAGGGATCGTAATATTGTCTTATATTTTTTTTTTTGCCAAAATTTATAAAATATTATTTAATGCTATATCATTCATTGGAATAAATATTTATAACAAGTTTTTAATTGATTTAATTGAAAAGGTGAAATGAAAATTTTGAAAATTAAAGTTTCTTTCCATCTATTTTTCATGTTAAATTCTTTTATCCTTAATTACAATGTTTAGGTATATCTTTGTGACCAAAGTTTGTTGGTTTTATCAAATATATATGTTAATTCGTACCATTTTATTTTTACTTTTTATACAATAATACATAAAAATCGATCTACATTTGTTCATTATCTATCATAAAGTCATAAAATTAATGAAAAGCTCTTTTAAGTTTAAAAAAAAATCGGCTTAGTTAGATTTTAGTTTATTCTAACAGTCTACTTACAGATGTTAAAAAAAAAACAGTCTTCTTCTTTCAGACTGCAGACATTTGGTTCACCTCTTCTACTGCAGATATATGCAGATATGGTCCGCATACTGTAGACATTTTGTCTCAGAAAAAACAAACAACAACTTAGCAAGTATGATTCAAAATGTTATTTTTTTTTCATTTATAACTCAAGACATCAAGACATCTGTATATGTCTTAATGAATTTAGCATTTAGTCAAAATTTGATATTATTTAATAAAATAACACGTGATAATTAATATGAACCAAAGGACTTAGACTGTAACTGTAACAATTTTAGAAGTATGTCCCTTAATTAATAGGTTGATAGTTTAAGTTTTGCTTGAGACAATTACATAGTTTATGATAGATTAGATGTAGATTATCAAGCTTTAAAAAGATTAACATGAGTCTTAAGTATATATAGCCTTTCAAAATAAATATAAATTAAAATATATATATATATATATATATATATATATATATATATATATAGTTATTTTTAATAAATAATTATTAAAATGGATTTAATTTGTATACATAAATATGGCAAGATATATTTCTATTGGATGCAGATTCTATTTCCTTATAAGATATATGATGGAATGTTCTTTCCAAAGAGGGTGTCAAAATGATTGATTTTTTGCATCTCATTTACTATCCATCTTTACCTATTTTTAATTATTACTATAAGGTATACAGAGTGGATGATGGAAAAGAAGATGACATAAATGGCAACACCTCCCTTAGGGACAACATGTCCAAGAAACGAAATTTTCTTCTCGTCCTCTCATTATTCCTCTTTTCTCTATTTTCTTCCGGTTGCCATGTTGTATATCTATTCTCATTGTCATCAACGTCACATCCTTTAATGGCAAAGAATGGCATGCATTGATAAATACTAAGTAAGGTGAATGTACATGCCAAGCAAGACGCCTCTCCTCTTAGCCTAATATATATGATTTGTTTAAATAAGTGGAGAAATTATACATCTCCTTATAGATACATATTCCATGTAATTATTATTATTATTATTATTATTATTATTATTATTATTATTATTATATAGGGTGTGATTTTTTAAGAACTCATAGTTTTCCGATAACTCGAGAACCAAAGATTGAGTGTTAGATCAAAATTAGCTCATTAATGGCATGATCTTCATCTTACCAATCTCATTTAATGTTTCATTTTTTGTATTGCTGGAAATATTAATATGACAACCCGAATATTTCATATATATAATTTCAGCAGTTAATCACTTCATTTGGAAGTCAAATTCATTTCCGCCATCTTTTAGCACAATTTAAAGTTCGTTTTAGTATTCCGAGCATTTCACACTTAAGGATCAAGTCTTAGAAAGTAACCACTAAAGCCCTAACACCAAAAATCATGCCATGAATGCCATAAGATGGAGTTTACGGCCGTAAACATGGAGTTTACAGCGGTAAACTCCGAGCGGTAAACTCTTGGGCAGTAAACTTACCCTATATAAGGGTTGAGTGGACCTCATTTACACTCTTTCCACACTCTAGATACATTCTCCCTCTACCCTCTCTCTTCAAAACCCAATTTCTCCAAAGAATCTTCAAGTTTTCGTCCCCAAATTGTAAGTACTTCTACCCTAGAATGTGTTAAAGCTTATTTCATGTCCATATATCATTAAAATCACCCAAAATAGCATGAATAAGGTGTTTACAGCCCAAGAACTTCTTAGGCCATAAACCCTTAAAAGGGTGCCAAAATGTCCCCTAACTCCTTCCTTATGCTTAGAGACTAGCTTAGATCATACCCTTGAAGTGTTATGGACCTTAAACATCAGGTTTTGGAGGATTGAATAAGGGTTTACGACCCAAGATCTTCTTAGGCCGTAAACTCCCTCAAATGGTGCAAAGTGTGCCCTAATCACCTTACCTAGCCTTGGACCTTAACCTAGAATTATACCTCAATGAGTTAGGGACTTCAATCAACGAATTAGCACCTCATACCATGAGTTTACAGTCGTAAACTCATGGGGGAGTGGTCCCCAGGCCGTAAACTCCATACAAGGCCATTCTTGGACCTTAAACCCACCCAATCTCTTGTTTAAGCCTTGGAACACTTAACCACATAGTTTTAAGACTCATTTGGTGACCCAATTGAGAGTTTACGGCCAGGAGTAAACTCCCTTGGGCCGCAAACTCCAACAAACATGGTCATTTGATCATTCACTCCCGTATAAGGCCTTACACTCCTTAATTGCAACCCAATAGCCTCCCAGCACTTGACCAAAGTGTTTTTCCTCGCATTAGGATGTTTATACGTGTTTAGTTAGTGTTTTAATCACTAATTATATGTAAACATATGTCTTCATATGTTACTAGGGTCATTAAGTGTGTTCAAGTCTTCACTTGACACCAAGCACTCAACCGACACTTCCATCCGATCCACTCGCTGCAGGTGAGTTCATACCCCTTAATTAACCTTTCAAATGTTTTTAAATGCTTTTAGGGGGGTGGGGGGAGGGAATACAAGTAAATCCAACAAATTACAGTATCAATCACATGTGATTTATGACTTGCAACCGAAAGGATTTTCTATACTTATACCTGCTTTGACAACAAAACTGCTTTTAATGTTTATCAAATTCATTTTTTGTGACAACCCGAAATTTCCATTTGTACGAACATTATCTATTTAATAGAAGATAGTCCAATTTCAGTGAGTTTCAGACTTTTCTGTATAAGTTTGCGTACATTAGGGTTTACGTTTAAGGAGATATCAGGAGAGTGGATACTCCTGGGTTTGTGAAATTTGAACATTCCAAGTTTCATAATGTTATAGTCCAAACTTCCGGAATAAAAATATTTTTGTCAAAATATTTCAGGACTATAAATAGATTTCTGAATTTAATTAATTCATTATTCACAATTCCAACTAGAGAAAAGCTATTTTCTCTCTGACGGATCTTCGGGTTTTCATACCAGATTGTGGGTCTACTTTCCTAAATGTGTTTTAATGCTTGTTATATGCTTTATAACATTGTTTACATGTCTAAAATACAAGATCCGGGAGCTTACGGCCCAAGAACGTTCTTGGGGTGTAAACTCCAAAACGAAGCCTAAAAGCTTCCTAGTCCCAATTCCTTGTTAGACAACGAGTTTAGGACTTATTGTAGGATCTTTTGAGGCTAGAAATCATCCAAGATCATAAGGCTTTTGGAGTTTACGGCCCAAGAGTTTCTTGGACCGTAAACACCATTTCCAAGGGCCAAAGTGAGCCCTAAATCACCCCTAAGGCTTAAGGCATTTACCCTCTAATTCTTGTAGCTAATTGGACACCAAAACACTTCAAAATCATAAAGTTTTAGGAGTTTACGGCCAAGAAATGCTCTTGGGTCGTAAACCCCTTTTTCAAGGGCTAAGAGTGCCCTAAACACCCTTAAGGCTTTAAGAAAATTACCCTTTAATACTTAGGACTTGAATGGGGAGTAAATTACATCAAAATCATCCCTTAAAGGGAGTTTACGGCCAAGGAACATCACTTGGGCTGTAAACTCCAAGTAAAGGCACAAATGTGTGCCTAATGTCCCCTTTAGCCTTAGACAAAAACATAGAAGCTATCCTACATGTGCAAGTGACTTAAAAGAATTAAAACCAACACCCCATAGGAGTTTACGGCCGTAAACTCTAGGGGATATGGTCTTTAGGCCGTAAACTCCTCTATAGAGCATTCTAGGGCCTTAAACTACTTCAAGGATTATTCCAACAAAGCTAGGCTTATTCTAGGATCAATATAGCACTTCAAAACACCCAAAACCACCAAGTGTGGAGTTCATGGCCATAAACTCAAGGAGTTTATGACCGTAAACTCCAAAGGTGGGGTTTGTTGGGTGGTAAGCTCATATACAAGGTCATTGGTGCATTAAACCCTCTTTTGCCTTGTCCTATATCAACTTAGATGCAACCATTAGGACCTATAACGCTTATACAAAGTGTTTACATGTTCCTAAGTGCCTCAACTTATTTCATTAAGTTATTAATTGGCTAATTAGTTATATATATGCTCATTATATGATAACTAGGCTCGTGCGTGTGAACAAGTCTCCGTTTGCCACCTAGCACGGTACCCGATACATCAATCCAATCTACTCACCACAAGTGAGTTCATACCCCTTTAATTAACCTTTGAAATGCTTTTAAATGTTTTAAATACTTTATGGGGGGATACAAGTTAAACACTTACAGTTATTACATCAATCGCATGTGATTACATTAATCATATGTGATTAATAACTAGAAAACCAATGATTTTATCACTGTTCAAACTGTTTATCAAACTGTTTCACTTCAAAATGTTTTACAAACTCTTTTTACTTATCAAATGCTTTTATTAAACTTTGTTTTACTTCTTATAAATTGCATGCCCATATATGTATAGATATATAAGTAATGTTTAAAGGGCTTAGGAAGGCCATCCGCCCTATTTCCTTTTCCTCGATTTGGATGTGGTCTGGTGGGATTTCGGGTGACCATCCGGGTCGTTTCAATATTAGTTATATATCATATATACATGTATAGACATAAAAGTACTTCCATATTCATACTTATCAGTACATCAATAGCTAGTTACCATCGGGGTAACACAGAATATATACAACTATACTAGAGACAGAACATATACAACTATACTAGAAACAGAACATATATAACTATACTAGAAACAGAACATATACAACTATACTAGAACGAGAAACATTACATATACATGAACACGTTAACAATTGTGATCCACTGTGTCGGAGCATGCCTTAAATGTCATGGCCCGAGTTGTAGCCAAAATTCTCTTGGAGGGAGAGCGTGAGTTTGCGTATAGATCTATACTGGATTGACTATCCTACACCTTGCTGCTAGCTACAGCCGGACCTGCAGGTCTGCGGGTGCCAAACGTCATTCCGTTATTACGATCATTCATATGTCATTGTTACCAGTCGATAGCATGGTGCAATTTATCACATGATACCTTAATATAAATCCGGTTTAAGGTAGTTAGTACAGCAGTAGTTCTTATAATACAAAACTACAGTACTACAATGATTTACCCATTACATATTTTAGTGATAACCTCACTTAAACGTTAATGTACAAACTATATTTTGTTAAATGATAGTTACATTTGGGAAATTACACACTTTTACATTAAATGAGCATACAAAACAGTTAAGCCTTGGTAGAAGGCTACTTTAATAGAAAATATAGGTTTTTCTGAGAGATTCAAACTTTTACAAACACTTACAAACCTTTACATACATTTTACAAACTTATACTTGATACATGTTCAAACATTTTTGGATGACAAATACCGACACTAAAATACTTATGAACTCACCAGCTTAATGCTGATAAACTTTTTCAAAATAACTTGTATTCTCAGGTCATCAGTAGACAGGTACCGAGGCCAGCTTTTGAGAAGATGGAGCGCATCCAAGACTCACCTTATTATTTTTATATACATTATTTTTGGTGTCTATACTGTACAGAACACGCTTGTATTAAAATTATATATTTAATGCAATGTATGATGTTGTTTGCTTATTTACATTTACTGTGTTGTGATACTTTACATGACATCCTCCGCCCCAGAACGTTTCCGCCATTCTTAGTTTTGGGGTGTGACAGATTGGTATCAGAGCATTGTTTATAGTGAATCAAGTATATCAACCCATAAAAGATATACTAAACTATAAACCCATTTGGGATTAAAACACTCTGACCAAGAGTCTATACTTTAAATATTAAAATATTTAATTAAGTATACTAGTCTGCATTCATACTAAAATCAGTGTCACAATGACAAGAACAAAAGTATTACGATTGTTAAATATCACAGGTAAGCTCGGGGATATATGG